CGCGCTAGCCTAAGGGCCACCTTAGCAAAGCGCATCCCAGGCTGCATAGCCGCACTACCCTACCCAACCATACCACACATAAACATGACACTACCCCCGGGGTTTACACAGACGAGCCGGCGAAGCAAGAAGAGCGCCAGAAGAAAGGGCCCTAGCCGGCGGGGCCCAGCCAGGACAAAAGGAGGTCCCACAAAGCGCCTACACCGGCCGCATTTGCGGTCGGGGTAGACGACGGATGGGGCCCACCTACGAAGGCTGTCCAGGCCTACACGAGATGAGGCAGGATAAAGAGGGATAATCCCCCTCGATCCCAAATCATTGAGACCAATTTCTAGCCATAGAATAATGGCGGAACCCCGGGGGTAAAAGTTGGAAACTCCAACATAAAATTCTATTTTCCCTACATGAACCAAGTATATTTTTTATGTAGAAATGGTCAAGGATTTCGATTTTCTAAAAAAGAATTACGAATTTGACAAATAAAATAAGTTACGGGTAAATGAAACAGAAACTGAAGGCCTTGGATTGACTACTCTAGCGCACCTACCGCGAGTCAGGAAAAACAAAAAAAGGCCTTCGCTTTCAGTGGCAGGCCCACCAGCCGACCTTCAGCTGGTACCATTGAATATACCATAGCATTAGCCAAGTTGTAATAAATACCAATTCTCACCAAAATGGACAAAAATTAAAAAAAACTAAAACGATTCCTAAGAGTTCTCCAGCTTTCAAAGGTTGCACATAAAACATAGTTTTTGATCAATTACTCAAGAACCATTAATAGTATAAGTTTCATACTTGGTTCTCTCGTAGTACTACCTATCTGCAAAACCTGATAGAAAACTAGCAAATGGTGTTGAATATAGATTTGAAGTAACTGTTGAAAGATATATGTGTATTTTGGATGTTACAGAAAATTTTTTACATATCTGTGTAAAACATTTTCATTGACAATTTTTCTACTCATTTTTTTTCTCTAGAATTATAAAAAGTTTCCTTAATTGCATTTTTTTTTTAATTAAGTACTCAGGTGAACATTTTCATAATTATGTACCTCTAATGGTTGAGAATAGAATCAATATAATTGACTTTATGATCATCCGCTGCTGATAAATGCTACAGGAATATCTTAAAAATTTAATATATCATTGCTGCATAATTTATTGAAGTAACATTTAAAAAAATGGAACACAAGTCTACTACAAAATATATCACTAAATTATGAAACTTAAAATGCTAAAATACATCACTTTTCCGATGCCACTAAATTTATTATAGCACAGGAAAACTATTCTTATATTATGGAAAAAGCAGTCTAGGGTCTATAATGTCTGCCCAGGCAAATTCTCGTTTGTTACTATCCTCAATTTCATCAGTTCCTTCGAGAGAGAGTATACCTTCTGGATCTTTACAATGCTCTAATCCATCTAAAATGCAATTTAATTAAAATGATATTCTAAAGCAAACGTAGTGAAAAAACTGGAAATATCAGTACTCGTGAGCAATGTCTCTTTACGGCTTATACCCTTACTGTTAGAAGTACTTACTAAGGATTTCGTAGAGTACAACTTTGCTGTCATTGTTAAACTCTGTAACTTTTCCTATTATGTATGAAGATACCTCCGGCGTATAGTTTTCCGTTATTCGCAGGATCTAAAAGAGTAATACTGTTATGAAATATTTATTTTTGAAGTATCTTATACCTTAAATGCAATGATGTCTCCTACTTTGGGTAGTATTTTTTTTATAGATGGTGACTTTAGAATATATTCTTCTTCAATACTGAAATTTCCAGAAGCGTCGCTATCTAAACTGATATTTTCCGTAGTAAAAGTCTCCATACCAGTTTCGGTGTTTTCTGCATTCTGATTCTCTTTTCCGGTTAGATCTACTACCTTTAGATGTCCTCCGTCTTCCTCTTCAAATTTTAAATGTAAAGTGGGGCAGGCCTTGCTTCTTATAGGTTTTGGTACAATATGGGAATCTTCAACAGTAGAACTGTCATTGAGTGAAGTGTTATTTACGGCATTGTTTTTCTTCTTTCTTTTTCGAATCCGTTTCCTCTTTCGTTTTGTTACAAATTCACTGTGATCACTGTCCATGCTCTCACCAGTAATTAACGATTCACTATTTCTTAATTCTCCCAAAAGCTCACCTAAAACATAAAAAAAAAACAGAAATAGTGACTATTATTTCTTATGTAGACAATCAAATTTTCTGTTATATGGCTTACCGATTCCTGAAAGTTGTTTTCTTCTTGAAAATGTTGAACTACTTCCACGACTTAATATACTGGTATCTGGAGAAGACCTTAGAACGTCTTCAGTTAAATCTATGTCTGACTGTTTACTATTATCGCTCAAGTTAACTACTTCATTCAAGATATTTTGAATGTTTGGTGATTCTGTTTGTGATACCGTACAGATATTTTCTTCAAATACATCAGTTTTATTTACGAAATTATTCAGATCTGAAGCATTAATTTGTTGCAGTTCCTTAGTACTATTTTCGATAAGATTGTTAACGCTCTTATTAGAAAATGATACATCACTATCAATTTTTTCTAAATATTTTGTATCTACTTCACATTCAATGTTGTTTAGTGAGCTCCTGACATCTTTGTCTAAAGATGAATGTAATTCAGGATAATTAATTGATTCTGGCACTGTTTCACGAGGATTTTTATTTTTTTCTTCAGAAGAAAGGTCTATTTTAATCAATGGTATAACTGACTTATTTAAGCTAGGGCCCTGCTTAATTTCTGAAGTTCTGTAAGTATCTTTTTTTAATACGTCACATAATGAAGTATGGGTTTTTGGCTTATGAAATGTACTATTAATTGCTTCTCGTAATTTAGAATCCTTATTATTAATTGGAGTATGTTGGGAAGATTTACCAGATGCTTGCTTGAAGCTTAATGACTCAATGGAATTGGTAAGTAAAGGTTTTTTTACTTCTGAATCTGGTATTGTAACTTCTTTTTCACCAATAGAATTGTTTAAACTTTTATCTTTAATTTGCAATGCTTGACTTTCGTTAATACACTTTTCTGTTTCGCCCTCACTAGATATCAGACTGTTAGACATAATAGTGTAAGAGATATCATTTTTATCATAGTTTGGAATAAATTTAACGTTCTCATTTTCGCTAGCTGGGGAACAAATATTATTGTCTGTAGCACTTACTTCTATTTCTGAGGAACTTCTCACTTCAGGTGTCAATACTGTTGAATTTTGATCAATACCATTATCAATATTTCCTGAACTGTAACAACATCTAGAATAACTTTTATGTTCAGCTGCCCCATTATTCGTAGTTAATTCCACTTCCTTTACATGCGGTGGCCCCCCCAATAAGTATTCTATCTTGACAATATTTACTTTCTTCTCTTGTAAGTATTTGTCTGTTATTGTAGGAACTGATACTTTTTTCTTATAAGATGACAAAGCTCCTTTACATTTGTATGGTTCTTTACCATCCTCGTGTAATTCTGACTGCAAATTACGTGTTGTTGGAACACTTAATGAAGTTTCTAAGGAAACTGACATAGATTCTGTCTTGTTACTAATTTTTTTTTTGGGGGAATTAATATGTGATTGTAAAACTGGTATTAATTTGTTTATATTTACAGAACTGCTTTCATTTTCAGTACAGGAATCCTCTAATGTATTAGGTGTTGTATAATTATTTGAAGTGCTAGTTACCATTTTTTTCATTTTCTTAACTTTATGTGTAACATCTTCAGTCTGTGCAAATACGTCTTTTTGCTCGGTACAATTTCCATTACGTTTATGTTTCTTCTTCTTTTTAGGCTCTTCTTCGGGTGAATATGGATGCTTAACATCTGGACTCTTCTCTTGGTTGTGCTTTTTCTTTTTCTTCTTCTTTGCAGGTGGAGCGTCTTGTTCTGTGTAGTCTTCTATTATGGATATCGACCTTTTTTTATTCTTAATAATATTCTCCGAGTTACTCACTACCACAGTTGTGGTCTTTGGTACATTATTTTGCACGACCCTATAATTATAACGAACATTAAAAACTAATCCATTATTTCTAAGATCTGTCTTACCAAACAACGTCATCATTCTGCAGAATTCTAACATCTTCTGACGACGGTAGATATTCATTTCGACTACTTAAGTGAAAATCTCTTATTTGAAATATATTTTCAATACGTTTTTTAAGATCACCAATTGTCTTAATATTATCATTTATGAATATTCTTGCTCTGTGTCTGTGATCGTTAAACCACTGGCACAAGTTAATAATAACACGAAAATTTTTAACAGCAGACATTGTACTTGTAAATCGAATAAATACGATATAAAATTTATATATAATAGAAACATAAAACGTTACTTATTCTCTGTTAACAGTTTTTTAAATGTATAACCTAAAACGATCTAATGTCAAATACACTAGGTACACATAGAACATAGAAAGTATACTATAGATGGCAAATGGAATGTAGAAAGAGAGGGCAGGGGACATCATGTAAAGTGAGATGAATATAGTTTAGATGACATTTTAAGGCTTATCATGCGAGATTTAGTTAGACTTCAATATCGAACTTACCTTATATGTGATTGGTAAACGCGATTACTTGCATTGCGCCATTATTCCATGGCTAGAAATTGGCCTCAATGATTTGGGATCGAGGGGGATTATCCCTCTTTATCCTGCCTCATCTCGTGTAGGCCTGG